TAATAATAATTGGTAGATAGAGAACAGTGATAGAGGCCTAGAAGAAATTTTAGATGTTGCTTGAGGAAAAGTTAATTTGTTAGTGTTGAGAACAGCTTACACAGCTATTCAAAACCCAATGCAAGGATCGTGACAATTCCACGTGAAATGTATACATAACTAGCTGGCCCGACAGACGTCGTCCTGTCCTAATGTGGTTTTATGTCAAATGCTCGTTCATTTTCAAAATGAGCTCGTTCGCATGGCTCAATCACGTCCTGGTTGAAGTTCGTTCGCTATGCTCACTCACCTTTAGGTTGGAGCTCGTTCGCTGCGCTCACTTGCCTTCAGGTTAGCTCGTTCGCTACGCTAACTCGCCTCCAGATTGAAGTCGTTACAAATCAAGACGAAATTACTAAATACAATTTTTAAATGGAGGGACAAAGAGTGCGGAAGAGTTATTGTTGTTACCTCATCCAACAACAAAATTCGATTAGACCCACGATGAGTTCGACGTGACATATCCCAGGTCAACATGGATCCAGGGGGGGTGATGCCCGATGCTGATCTAGGGGTCGGGTATCCCCGGAGCTCGGGGTCGAGGTCGGTTCCCACCGGAAGTGCCTTCCTCTCACCTGGGTCCGAGTCGGAGTCAACCCGAGTCACTCGCCATGTGCGGATGTGTAGGAACCGCTCAGCAGCCGGAGCCGCACCCTCTCAAGTCTCTACTGCTCAACTGTTTGAATCTTCGCCGACAGAGGTTAGTGCATGGAAACCGGTTACGACGATGTGAACAGTGATTTGGAAATTTAATTAGGTTTTTTGCTCTTTATTGGCATTTTAGGAAATTATTGGAAGATGGTTGTTTTATTGACATTATATTTTTGAATTATTAGAACACTAAGAACTAAAACTATACCATACTAAGGAAATATAACTATAATGAACTATCGGTTCACATAAAATAAGTTTTCTATTTATATTTTGAGTGAAATTTTTACAAGACTGCCACCATATAAGACGGACTTTCGCCTTGTAATGTTTATTTTGTATTTTGTATTACTCTTGTGAAAACCTTTTTTGCATGCTTAATGGTACAATGTATTGGCACGTGCTGTTTTGTAGGATTGTAAAAAAAATAAAAAAATAAAAATAATAATGTATAGGCCCTACCACATTTTTTTCTTAACTTTAGGTTTTTCTAGGCTTATTCGTAAATAGTAAGTGATTATTGGGAAATGGAAACCGACCTAAATACTGATAAATATTAATTTAATTTGAATTAAATATTTTTTTAAATTATATTTTTACGTAGTAATGAAGGTAATTAAATTCAATATTTCGACGGGTTTTCAATTCGTTAGTAAATGTCTAGGCCTAAAGGATAATTATTTATGTAAATAAATTTGGCTTCAAATAAATCTTTACTAGAGAGATTTGTGTAGCTGTTCATAGTAAAACACATGATACACACAAGAGCGTTCGTTTTCAGAGTGAGTTCGTTTTCAGTTTCGATAACTGTAGTGGAGTGATTGATAACACACTATCTTTGAGTTGACTCTTTTAAGTCATCGGAAATTATTATGATTATTCGTTTTGAAATAACGCCTGTGTATTACTTTGCAATTGCTCGAATTCGAGCAACAGGTGCAATAGTTTGTATAAATACAGGTTGAGAAAATGTTCTGATATTTGTCTTATGATTAGGCTTCAGTATTATAGTCTTTTGACAGTATAATAAAATCACACTATGATTAGTCAAAACTTGTATACGTAAAAGTTTCAAGTGATTTTTAAGACAAACTTTTACTATACAATTGCACTATCACAACTCAATTTAAATTTGACTCGAATTGTGACTGACTAACTTTCACAATAGTAGTTATTATTTCAGAGTCGGCAAGAAATAATAGATTTCTTAAAATAAATAAACTATAACCAAAACACTTATAAAATGTATTAATATAAACCCTGATTCCTTGTTAAATTGTAAGTCTTACGTAATACGAGTTTTTTTATTTGGTGCTACTAAGATGAAACATGCACATTATTCCCACTGATTATACAATTGTAGAATCGATCGTAATTTCTATAATCAATGGTTACAATAAACTATAATAGTCAAAAATAATCTTTTGAAATAAATGTGTGGATGTGCTAGTGGCATTGGTGAAACGTAAACAAAAATAAATAAATCAAGTAACATTATATATTTTTTTAATTTGTTGGCATTGAAATAAATACTGTCAATTTTTACTGCATTTTACGCTTCACCTAATAAGTTTAAAACCTTGGAACAAATTATTCAACCTGCCTTTATATAAAAAGAAGATAAGAAGACAATATAGATGGCATGTTTTGTAAAATTTAATATTTTCGTTTAATTTTGATAGACATTTCAATATTTTATATTTTTCTCAGTGACGTCATTTGATTTGAATAAAGTAAACCTACCATCCTATTGTAAAGCTTAAGTTTAATTTATGTTCATCGTTGTAATTTTTAGAACTACGAGTAAATTTTCAAAATTATTTTAGATTTTACAATTTTAGCCTGCGATTTGGTTGTAGGACAAAAGGACAAGCTATCGTTCTGTAGATCCTTTATTTGGTTAAATAGTAACAATAAAACACCGTTTATATGTACAAGACGGAACTAATTTCAAAATTGTTTTCTGCTGATCTTGTATTCATCTGAGGGGGCAATCATGAATAATACCGTTACTGAATTGAAATAATTTTAATTTTTTCGTCGACTATAAACACGATCCGCGCCACTAGTCGCCACTTTCCAAAGCACAGTTACAGCGGCGGGCTCATAGCGTTAGCAGTTTAGGGCTCACAAGGCCAAAACAATCGTAGGGCCAATGACCTGTACAAATTGGTTGATTGTGTTCGCGCCCCCTGACCCTCAAATTCGGCCCGCGTTGCCCTAGGCACTCTTGTTTACTCATAAACTCGCCTATAACCCGCTAACTCTACTATTTTGGGCGTAGTAAAGATTCCATCGATTAACTGAATGAAGTGGCTTGACTGCTTGACTCGCTGGCGTCAGAGCGTTTAAGATTTTTGGAGATTTTATTGATATTTATGACTTGAACTTCATAACGTACAACTCAGCTATCTTGTGATAGTGATTTTTTGAGTATCAGAATATCAGTCATGATGATGACGGACACGAAATATAACTTGGTTGGCTTTTTGTTATGCAAATTTGTGCCTGATCCTAATTTTGTTTGTTTAAAAGTGTCTGACTTTTTACACATATTTTATCTAAAAAATATATATTTATTTAGTTAACTATTCAAGTGACTACATTTAGGCATATACTTTCATTTATTAAATTTATTGTGTAATTAAAATTGTTAACTTTTCGTACTTTTGTTTTCCGTATGTTATCTATTCCATAAAATTCTGTACTAATTCATACAATTAGGACCTACAATCTTTTTGTTTGAATAAATCGTAATTGTTTCTCTTATTTACAATGTAGGCCTACAACACAATGATACACAAAAAACACAAACCAATAACTACGTTAGAATCTATGTCGGTGAATTTTTAACACTTGCTAAAGTTCTCATGTATCGCAGAGTATTTTAATACTCAAGTACTTTTTGTGCCTGATGTACGAATGTTGCCGATTAAAAAAATTCTAAACAAAACTTTTAAAGTCTCAGCATTAACGTAAAATAAAGTTTACCCAAATGTTATTAAACACATGAAATTAACCCTATTTTTTACGTAGAGTACTGTATATTCTAATTCAACCCCCTTCACCCAAGTTCACCCTTGCTTGATATTCAAATGGTGAACGGGCTCAGGGGCTGTACAAAAGCGAGGGAGACCTCGGTCGGGGTCGTAAAGGGCGGGAAACGTAAGTGTAAACCCTAACTCTGGCGACCTTGAGACTAAGGTCAACGACCTAGATCAATACTGTGCAAGTGCATCAGTTCCAACCCTTAGTTAAACCCCTCTCCCCCCGCACACCCTTCGCAACCCCGTGGCGTCGTGTGTACCCTGTGATTGATTAACCGTGGAATTTGAATACGAATACTGTATTGTATGACGATCAAAGAGGGATTTGCGGTGAGCCAGTTTTTTCTATTTTGTGTGTTTTACGCATTTTTTTTAGTTTTTGATAGGGAAAGTCAAAACAAATATTGTAATCACATGGCTTGTTGGATAGCTTTGAAATTGAAAATTAAATAGCCTAACGTCAAATGGAATCTGTGTCCAGAATCAAATGTGCGATTTAGATGGTACTCAGCCTAGTATAAATTGGTAGATAATAATTTCCTCCAATTATGAGCTTTTCACTAAACATTCAACTGCTCCTAGGTTAATCTTTTTCGTACCTCGAGTTACACAAATTCAACACATTCAACATAACCATACATTGGTAAACTTTGAAATTCTCTTGATATTTATTTGCATATCTCTTGTCATGCATTTATTCTTTGGTGCCTTTTAACATTCTACCAAGTCGTTGATAGCATCGTTAACTTGCTTAGCAATTGATTGTGTTTGAAACAAGAGTGAGTGTGGGATTGAACCAGCAAACTTAATTTTTTTTTGCATGAGCTATATCCACTCACCATACCGTCATCATTAACTTGACTATTATTCAAGTTTCGTGGTGCTAAAGCAATCGACTATTGGTTTGAACACAGAGAAGAAAACTTGCCTATGGGACGACAGTGCGCTTTCAGCTCTAGTGTTTTGTGCTGTAAATATACTTGCCGGGCGGGAAGAGTGCCCAGCAATCCGGTGGCCGGGGGGATCGGTCTTTTTAGTAAGTAGTGGTGAGCACTGTGGGGAAATTCCTATCGCACAGGGCACAGGGTCTTCCTCCACCGTGAGCATTGTACACGAGGGGAGGAGAGCGGTTTAGACTTCGCCCTAGACACCAGCGACTAAGGCTTTGAATGTTTCATTTGTGTCTTACTTCTCTGTAACTATTCCTTTATTTCTTCCTCCCCACTCTACACACATTTTTCATACTTCTCTCCTATGTTGCAGGGTGGAAAGCAGCGATGTGCCATGCCTGGGCCGCCACCACCACCTCCCCCATCACCGACCCCTGGAGTTGGTGTTCCAGGGGGTTACCGTGGCTCTGGACAAGCGGCAGATCCTACGGGATGTCTCCGGAGTGGTAAAGCCCGGTCAACTCCTGGCCGTCATGGGTCCCTCGGGCTGTGGGAAGACCACCCTCCTCAACTGCCTCAGCGGTAGGGTCAAGCTGGCCGCGGGCAATATCAGACTCAACAGGGAGAGGCTCAATAAGAGGTGGAAGAGGAAGATCTGCTATGTGCTGCAGCAGGACATATTCTTCCCGGACTTGACTTTGAGGCAGACCCTGGAGGTGAGCAAAAAAAGCAAAAACTAATATTTATAACCTTATTATAGCGCTTAAGCTATGGGGAGCGAGCTGGTCTAGTGGTAGAGCGCGGGATTTTGGTACATTTAGTCCCGGATTTAAATTTTGCAAAATCACCTATGGGTTTATCGTCATAATGTCGCAACCCCTAGGTCTAGCCTATCACCAATGGGTTTATCGTCATAATGTCGCAACCCCTAGGTCTAGCCTATCACCAATGGGGTTTGTCTTCATAATGTCGCAACCCCTAGGTCTACCCCGGGCTCGTGCTTAGCGACAAAAACACTGCGCTCAAGCCATAGAGCTAAATTTCAGTTTATGTAGGGGGTTGAGCTTTACAATTTATCTGTAAAAAGTACCATATATAAACATAAAGCTAAGAATGCAGTATCACATTATTATGCCCTTAGGTTATTTCATTTGTTAAATTTGTTAGTATCCTAAATAACATAAAACCCGAAACAAAAGTATTGCTCATCAGCAAGCTATAAAAACTAATAATTGTTTACATCAAACCCCTCGGATATTTTACATTATTTTATTTTATTCTATCCAAACATTCGTAAAAATTAAGCGGAAAATATTTTGGTAATGAGATTTTACTCTTATAAAGTAAACAAAATCGTTTATAATCTTTATCAAAAATTTAATATTGATTAAAAGTACATCATTTGTTGTAGATTCCGTTTTTAAAGGTACAAATAATGATAACAAATTTAACAGTACAGGTACAAGTTTCAATAACATTTTTTTCAATAAACCTAGTTACTAGAAAATAACATTTTTAGAAATAAAGCCTTGTCACTAGAAACGTGAAGAAAAATAGGGTATTGTTATGTACAGGGAAGTAAGAAAACCGGGCCAAGAGGGACAAAGGCATGTATTATAAAATACGAACAACACCTTTCTCAGACTACTTCCTCAGTAGGTAAAAGGGAAGATAATGATGACGTTTGTAGTACCTCATATTTTTCCATAAATTACATAATATTTGCACAAGTAAAAGTATGATTTATTTGTCTAGTTAAAATAATACTTACACACAAACGTCAAAATAATAATTTAAGGTTTGCTTTGAAATCTTTGTTTGAAAGACACGTTCAAAAATTTGTAAAATAATAAAATAAATTTTAGGCATATTATTGCTGGTATCGTATCCAGGGCTATTTTAATACGTTAACGTTTTAGTTTCTAATAAAAAATAATTATTATGTTTTGCAAGTTATAATGTTGGTATATTCGTTATACTAAATGTCATTACTTATTACAATGTTCTAATTGATAAATGTGTAAAAACTAATGAAACATGAATTACTTGTTAAAAATAATTTATTAAAATAAAATTGTTTTCCAAATGTTGATAAATTATCCTGTACCTGTGATAGCTTGTCAGTTTTATGAAGTAGTTTAAAGTTTAGTGTTACAATTCGTCATTTAACAATGGTATTCACCGTACTTCTAGCAGTTTTGTGGAGAACGCCTTCATTTTTCGCCGTGTAGGCAATATGGGTACAGGCGACTAGAATACGCGTGGATTCACTGTACATTGTTTGTAACGCACTGCTTTATAAATATTTCTTCGCTGTCCGAATGTAATTTCCAAATTGTAAATACTGCTGAAAATATTTCACAGCTAAACGTTGTATAAAATCTAATCTAGGAAGGGTATAAACATATTATTGAACAATAATCATAAAACTGCTACCTATTAATTATTGTATTATTTTGTTTCAAATAACTTTTACGCCGTCCAACATAACAAAAATGGCCACATATTGTTAGGAAAATTTGTTATTAGTTTTATAAGAAATAAAACAAAATTGCCATTGTTAAACCTGATTAATTTTGTTGATTAAATTATTATACATACAAAATGGGAATAGCTTAATTGAATGTACAATTTATGGGTTTTATGTAGCCAATTACCTTTTGCCCTAAAACAATTTTTGTTAAATCAATCTTCGTAAGAAAATAGAAATTCATGCGTTCAATTGTTTCTATAAATTAGTCTGGTAAAGCTTTATGATTCCATAGTATTGTTTGTGTACATCAATGAGGGGGGGGGGGTTAAATAGTTACATAAAATTTACTCTTGATCTTATCTTTCTGTATTTAACTCTTAATACATATTTTTTAATGTATAATTAATTATTCTCTTTATTTAGCTTATTAACTTTTACCACAAAACTTTTTTTTTATAGTTTTAATTTAATTGTCTTTAAAAACTTAAGAACTTGTAATCAACTATTGCTTTTACCGAACATATTGGTTCTTCTACAAATTGTTGAGCCTCCTTTAATTACCAACTTACCTTATAAGAGTCTACTCTTAAAATTTATCTCTTATTTAATTATCATCTAGAGTCTATTAAAATTTATCTTGTTTCCCTAAACACATTATTAGTATTATCTATAATATGATCTCAGTGTCAGTATCTCATGTATTGTTGCAGTACGCTGCTCTGCTAAGACTGCCAGACTCCCTGACAAGATCTCAGAAGATGCAGTACGTGGACCACATCATAGAAGTCCTGGACTTGGGGTCTTGTCAACACACAAGTACGTACAAAACCTGGGTAACAAATTCTTTTATGGTATGGGGTCAATCACTCAATCAATTATCAATTGGTTGAGATGGGGATGCCACCTAGGTGCATATATTAACCAAAGTATGTGCGAAGGATGAGTGTAGAATGGAGTGAGATTATCTGTGTAGCTTTGTTACTGAATAAGATCAGTTTCGCAAGGACCACTTAAAAAAAGGGAAAAAAGGGGAAAAAGGACCACCATAAAAAATTTTTTGACTTTCTTAGGATCGGACCGGCGACCTTTTGATTGTTAGACGAAAACTTTAACCACTCAGCTACCCAGCAATTATAATAAGAGGATCTAAATCTCTCCAAGTTTGTAAATATCCCAGAGATCTAACCAGGGCCCCTTCCGCAATGAAGCCTGAGACATTAACTCGGCTAGTAACACACTTAAGTTTTTATTTAAATCAGTATAGTCTGTATGATGGTGCCTGTATCCTAGCTCTTTTTCTAGGGGCTGGCCAGATCTTAAACCATTAGCCAGTCCCCAAACAGAAAGTCAAGAGACAGGTTCTATCATACAGACTATAATAATGCTACACAAGACCTCTCACTCCATTCTACACCCATCCTTTGTTCATATTTGGGTTAAAATGTACCATCTTAATTGGAGTGAGCTGGTCTAGTAGGAGATTGCGGGGTTTTGGTCACCAAGTTCACGGGTTCAAATCCAGCCAATCACCAAAGGGTTTAGCTTTGTGATAATGACACGACGCTTTAGATCTAACCTGAAGAAGGCTAATATTTAAGACAATGCTAGACTGGAGCTTAGTGTCTTTTAATGTAAAATTGGGAAATTAAAAAATCTCCATTTTAAATACAAAGATGGTAACATAGAGTCGAGCAATAACTGGCGTACCAGACTACTTTTTGTAATTCAACTGACAATATTATAGGGCTAACATATTTCATTTCTTCATATTTTGTGGATTTTATACTTAACAACAATAATGGTTCAATAAGTTTAAAAATGTTATTTCTAGATGATAAAACCAATGGGCATGAATTGGTAAATTTCACGCTCTTAACGCACAAAAACTAAAGAGGTATTATCCAACTTAAAAAAATCTCATTTTGCCCAGCCTTAACGCTTCCTACAGGATATAAGGAAGTAAAAGAAATTAGGCCAAACCTATAAACCAAATGAGCCATCACAGGTATTGTAAAATAAGCGAAATGAAGAGACCTAATAGGTTTCTTTGAAAAGTAATTTGTCAGAATATTGTATGTTGGACCGGTTGCTGAGAGGGAGTGGTTGTAACCACAGCTGTTGACCCGAATGGCTTTCTCCGGCTAACTGATCTCTCCACAAATTAGTCCATCATAAATATAATTTGAACCACAGCTCTCACAAATTATAACACTCTGTTAAACTGATATTACCTCGCAGGAAATATGTTGCTGTGATTTTTATCTTGTGATTACTTTTGATGATGCCCTCTTGGAAGTTCATAAGTTTTTAAGATGGGTTTGAAAATTGTTTGATAATATTGCCAGTCACAGTGTACTATTGTCTAAAATTATATTCTCTATTTTATTTTTTGTTACTCGGATAGTGTGGAAACTACAAAAATATGCTATAGCTTACAATAAGTTGTCAGCATAACTTGTTTAAAAATTCTGCATATTCGACAGAAATCTTAAATTTACAGTTCAACTACGTCACGTCCATTTTGTTTTCAAAACTCGCATCAACTTTAATATGAGTTGAAATGTTTAGTGTACAAGTAGTTCATTAATTTAAACAATGACTTAAGTATTGCAAATTTTTACAACAGTCCAGCATAACAATTTGTAAATGTATGCATAGCCTATAAATTAACTATTGGTAATTTTTTTTATCTTGACAAAAAAAAAATCTGAAGCTATCCCCGGGTGAAAGAAAATTTCACAGTCAGTTACCAGATTCAAAAAAAGAATTATTTAAGGAATACTGAGTAGTTTGTATTGCAAAATATTGAGTTTGGTTTTGTTTACAGTTATTGGAGACTACCTCAAGAGGGGCTTGTCGGGAGGAGAGAAGAAGAGAGCGAACATTGCGTGTGAACTGCTCACCAACCCTGCTCTCATGCTGCTCGACGTAAGTGAGGTTAAAGTAACACAAAACTAGCAGGATGTTTGACGATGATTCTATGCACATAGGCAATTTATTTTAAAAGCTACAGTAGAATATCGGTATATCAAAACTTTCAGATGTCATCAACCTTCCAGTTTTGTACCTGAATGCAGTAAAATAAAACTTTGAAGCCTTACTGTGTCATATAAAGTTGATTGATTTCAAGAACTTAGAATTAATTAGAATTGATTAGAACTTAGAGATGATTTATTTGTGAAATTTTCTTTTGTAGTCAGCACTAATTCAGAAATTAAACCGAACAAAACTTTCCAACCTTAACAGTGTTTTTATCAACAAATTGGACTCAATTATCAATTAGTGACAGACTAACCTGAAACTTATAGCTTACATGTAAATAATTATTTAAAATCTTTTCCATCAACAATGTGTTTTTTCACCACAGGAGCCGACGTCAGGACTAGACTCACATTCTGCGTACAACTTGATGCTGTGTCTCAAGCGTTACGCAGAGAAGGAGGGGAAGACGGTGGTCGTCACGGTACACCAACCTTCCTCGCAAATCTTCCACATGTTCGACAAACTGTTGCTGTTATGTAACGGACAGGTATGTATTTTTGTGTTTTTTACGCTATTGGCACTATCTAATGGTTTTGGGTTGAAAACCCTGATTATTGTCTCTTTTTAACTATTTAATATCTAAAATTAAACCCGCAACGCTATAAAATATTGAACTTGCCTAGGAAAATCACGATTTCTGTGTTTACCGCAAATATCTCTCGGGCCCAATGCATATCACGCACAAACAATAGGCCTTGATATAATTCCAATTTTGATGCATAAGTTAAATCTTACTGATTAGAGTAACTCAAAATAGCTAAAAGTTCATATAACTTAAGAGGGGAGTTCATCTAACTGCGTAAAGAGGGGAGTTGCAACAAAAAGTAAAGGTACTGTCAAAAACCCAGAGAAGGGGTTCTAACTTGTTTGCCCACTGCAGTACAGAATGCAAACTTTGTGACATTTTCAGTTTCAAGTTTGTTTTTTCTGTCAAATATTTCAAGTATCAAAAGTTGTAGCAAAATAATAATTGTATTAGATGTAAAAGTTGTAGCAAAATAATTGTATTAGAATATTATATGTAAAAGTTGTAGCAAAATAATTGTATTAGAATGGTGTTAGATGTAGCCCAATATTGCGTTGTTCTAAAATGCAATAATTTCATTGGTATGTTTTGTTTGTTTCCAGACAGCGTATTTTGGAGACTGTAATAAAGTAGTAGAGTTTTTCAACAACATCGGACTGACGGTTATGTCCCATTACAACCCTGCTGATTTCGTCTGTAAGTGTTAAATAGTTGTGTAGGCCTTTTTTCTTTTGAAATAACAAGATTATATTGATCTATATGTACTTAGTACGATTTTAACTATGAAAAATAAAATATAGTACAGTTTTATCATGAAAACTATTTTCATAGTTTGAAATACATAGTTACTGCTTATAGCATTACACACTGCAGTGTAATTGTTATAGCTAAGCATGCCTGCATAGTTTTTTTACAGTATAAATTTTAATCTTGGTATTAGAGTTGGATTTCTATCAGAACTAATGTTAGAAAAAAGTAATAATAAGGCATAAAGAGAGAGACATTTTATTAAAACTTAACTGTTAAATAATATCAAGATAGGTATTTTTTAGGTCATATGTGTGTTAAGTGGGAAAATTTTGTGGGTTAAGCGTGAAAAATTGTTTGCAAAAACAATTTTGTTTGATTACCAGTTTAAATTTATGAACCAGAATCAAATCTGCTAGGTTTAATTCCATAAGTTTTCGATAATTCCTGTATGTTAATTTGTTATGATGTGTATGAATTTTTAACAGTGGAACAAGTCAAAGGAAGCGAGGAGATGAAAGAGAAGATAATTGCGGCGTCAAGGGAGATGCGGTTACGACCCGACTATCCACCCGAACTTCGACCCGAATACTTCAACCACTCTATCTGTGATAAATACCTCAACAACTACCACGAAAACCACTCACACATTCACTCCAATGGTACGTCTACATTTGCTGTTGTAGCTTTATGGCTATTTAGTTTGTTGATTAGACATGTACAGTGGGTTTCAGGTTTTATACTGCACTACCCATAATATAACTGCTTACCTTATTACTATAGCTTGAAATTTAAGGGTCTTCATGTAAATCGATGACTTTACAGCATGTCTTCAGCATTTATCAATAGGTAGAATTAAAGTATTTTCCGTAGGGTTGGTATTTTTAGTGTATAGTTATTCTGACACTTTTAGAAACAGTTAATTTGTCATTTTATTTCTTTAAGCTATTATTAGGTGATTCACAAGGCAAACAGGGGAAACTTGCTTTTAGGTGGATTGTGCACTTTGAGCTCTATTAGCCTATGTTGTACCAGAAATATACTAGTGACGAACAAGGCATATCCTGATTGTCACAAACTAAGTCCGGACAAGAGTGGAAAGATTGTGATGAGATCCCTATCGCACAGGGCACAGGGTCTTCCCCCACCATGAGCGTTGTAGTACATGAGGGCCAGAGTGATGGTGTTGGACTTTGCCCTAGACACCACTTAAGTGTACTATTAAATAATTCCTCTGTACTTTACTTCTCTGTCTTAAGCCTAAATTAAACAGTGGACATTTTCCTTTATATTTATCGTTTCCAATTTATCTTTGCTAATAAAGATAATATATTTGACATGCTGAAACATACACTAAGACTTCCAATAAGTAATTTTTATGTACGGTAATGCAAACTGTTCAAGAAAATTTTCTTGTAGTGGAAACAGATGAAATTCATACAATATTCTGTACAAAGATAATGCTAAATGTAGGTTCCTGTGATTGTAATTACTGAGTTTACTTTGTATGTGTTATAGGACACATAGGAGGCGAACAATGTCACTGCCAAAGAGAAATGTGGACGAACGCACAGAACTCGATAGCCCGGGCGTCTACAGATGTTTGTGTGGCGATAGGTGAAACAACGGAATCCCAGGGTCACGTTTATACAACTGTCGCAGGTAAATCTTAACATCTGCCATAACGGACCTGATTCACCAATATTTCAAGTTTAAAAAGTTTAAAATTATTGTATAATTTTTTATTTTGTATAACAAAATACAGTGAGCTTGATTATAATGATTTTGAACACATTCCACATAAATTAAAAACCCCAAAAATGTACCTGAAATATATTTTCAAATTTTCATTCACATTTGATTGACAAATTCCTATCTACGTGGGAAATTTTAAAAAGGCATTTCCCATACTATAAGTACTATACTATACTAAGTATAGTAAAGAAAAACATTTCTTCTTACATAGCTGTATTGTAGGATTTGTTTAACTTGGAAAGAAAGTCATTAATCTTTGTCTAATTATCGTGCAGTAAAAGAAGAAGAAGGTAAAACCCTGTGGTTGGACAACCAAAGTCACGCGTCATCCTCAGTCAGTAGTTCCGACGAAGATGTAAGCTGGCAATGGCCCACCAGTTTCTGGACTCAGTTCAAGGTTTGTCAACGTATAATCAACACCATATATATTCTATGCCTTAAAAATTTGATCATTGAACCCTCTTCTTGGTAGGATTGAAGATTTCAATGTGTGTAAATATTTCTGCTTCAATCTATGTGCAGAATTTATAACTATACTCATATAGTTGATCTACAATTCATCTGTAACCAGTCTGTAAGCTTTCTAGGTATTGAACTCAATTATAGAAATAATTTAAACAGCATTTTAAAAGTTGAGTTCTATAGCAAAGTACTTCAACAATAAATTGCAGTATATTAGTCGATTTTCATGTGGTCTCTCATAGTTCAATTTTTTTATTGTGCTATGATAAATAAGACATCCATCAAATGATGAAATAGTATATTTCATAACAAGAGTAGAAAGTGAGTCATTACATATTTGAGACCATGTTTGAAGTACAAGATTTATCGACCACTTTAAATGGTTGAGAATATGTATAGACCCACTTTCACTTGTGTTTTGAACTTTACTTTTTGCCACACTACAAAGACTAATTATTTTCTTAATTAAAACAGACATTGGATATTTACTTATTACAGTATACATTACAAAACTCATAGCATTTTTTAGGTTATCCCTTCAATTTAAAGTTAATATTTACTTTGGTTGTTGAAAATTTAAACAGTCGACAAAATGATAACAAATCCTTGTTTACGTCGGCAAAATCCAAAAAAGATAGTAAACATTCTTTTTCCGAAGTAAACAATGTAAGGTTGAATTTTTGCAGGTGATAAACATGTAGCGAAAATAGGTCATTTCACAGTAGTGTAGTAAAATACAGTTTTTTGTGTTATTTGCTGATTTTTCATGCTAACCATTATACCTGAGAATTGCAACACTTCAAATAGATAAATTAAGGGCGAGGATGAGAATGCATTAAGATCGGCGGGAGTTGAACTTGGGACCTGAAGTCCCTGCTTTACCACTAGATCTCCCAAAATGGAAGCAGATTCAACGTATTGTTCCATTTGGCAGGTGCCTTTCTGTGGAGTTGGATGCAAAAAGAGGATGGATCTAAACCTGGGACCTTGACCACAAGACCAGCTCATAAAATATTTGCAGATCTAACCTATTAATTTGACAGGTGCTCTCACAGCGGAATTTCCAAGAGGCCCGGCCCCGCATGCTGTCGACCCTCAACTGGGTGCAGACTGTGGCGCTGGGACTGATGGCGGGGCTGCTGTGGTTCCGTCTGCCCCGCACTGAGGAGTCCCTCCATGACATACAAGGCTGGATGTTCTTCTCCACCACGTACTGGATGTTGTTTGCTCACTTTGGTGCTCTCTCCTCATGTGAGTATATACTTGACTATATACTTACTGAGTACATCTACTCTCTCCTCAGTTACTGCTTCTTTGTGGTGTCGTGTATATTTTAATTGAATTATTGCAGACATTTTCCATCACAATTACAACTCGAATACAAAATCATTTTTGGTTAAATTTGGTAAAGACGTGTAAACCTACATTTATTCAAAGAGTTTCAAAGAGTCAACTGGCAGGACCATGGGAACGGGGTTTAATGGGAGGCCAGGTTTATGGGGTGAAAATGGATAAAATTCCAATCAGGCAAATGGAAATTAGCTTAGTCTGCAGGTTTGCTACGACGGGGGTATTTTAGCTTCTTGCTCACCTAAGGATGGAACTAGATGGATAAACACTGAGGATACTTTATTACTAATTTTGATGGAAATGTCCGCAATCATTTTGCAAACTTCTACCTCATTATCACAAAAAATGAACTACAAAAAATCGTTGCGGTACTTAGATTTAACTAGTGTTACATCTTGAAGAAATAGAATATTTGAAGCAGTTGACCACATATATTGCTTGGAATAGCTGTAAACAAATTATAATTTTTAATTCTTTCTCTATCTTGACTTACAGAAAGTTTTCAGCATATTTTGACTTTTGTATACTTTTGTAGACATTCAATCCATATAAACTGGCTGTACTGGAAACAATTTTTTTTATTTACATGGAAGACATTTAATTTAGCCACTGCTAGTTAAAATGCACTGCAGTCAAAATACAGTGTTTGCTTCCCCCTACTTTTTGATACTAAGATGGTTGATGACTCAAAAGATTGTAACTCACACACACAAAGACTCAAACACACACGAACACAATTTATTAACATAAACAAATTCGCAGACTAATTTTGTATTTTTGTTTATCGACGACGACGTGTTCCAATGATTTTATGAAGCAAGTAACAATGAAACTCTGGTTTTTTAACTAGTCACCCAAGACTAAATTAGGCTTGATGACGTAAGCTATTACCTTTTTATATTGCCAACGCATACAAATTTGTCACTAATCAACCACCTGTTGCACAGTTCCACCTGAGAGGGAAGTAATCAACAAAGAGCGTCAGAGCGGGGCGTATCGTCTGTCGGCCTACTACCTGGCCAAGATGGTGGGCGAGCTGCCTCTAACCATCACACTACCAGCAGTCTACCACCTCATATCTTATCCCATGCTGGGGCTGCATAGTGTCAGCGTCTTCCTCACTCTGCTAGGCTTTCTGCTGCTCAACACTATAGTGGCGCAGGTTAGAAGAGTTTTTGTTTGGTAGAGATGCCTTTGGGTTGGGTTTTAACTGTATAAGGAAACTCTTTTGAGGCTAACCTTAGTGGTGAAAATAGTTGGTACGCAAATAGTAGCGAAGTGGTTAAGTCTATTATTCTATTAGCCAAGGGAGAATATTGTCAAACCCAGATGCCATTTGTTATTGGGCTGTCAATTAATGATGCCATCAGTCAACGTCAGAGAAATAAAAGATCCAGGTTTGGACTGGTTCCGTATGAAAATTGTAAAAATTACCAATAGAGTAGATTTAAAAGAAAATAAGAATTCATGAAACAGAATTTATGGAACTACTAGCTCCTTCTTTAGTTGTTGTAAGTGTAATATTATGAAGAGAACGTTAATAGAAAGAAAGAACAAGACTTAAACTTTTAATTGTCAACTCTGAATAATAATATAAAACAATAAATAACAAACAACATCATATTTAACACATCATATGAGTACGACAGTAAGGCTTTGTCCTTGTTTTAGGGGGGTTTTAGGAAAGAGAGAAGTTTCAACAAATTATGTTTTTATTTATGTACTTTCAAGTACCTCATCTTTCCACCAAGAAGACATCCTCTATTCCCCACAATTCCACAAACCCCTTCCAATTTCCCTCCAATAGTTGTTAAAAACGCACGTGATCCCTGCAGCACAGTTATTTGTACTCAGTGCCAATACATTCTATTTTTTACACTATTCTCTACACTCATATTACATTTCCAACTAACATTTTTGATTGATATCCACTGTTTCCGCAGAGTGTGGGTTTCTTTGTGGGTGCGTGCTGTATGGATATGCAAGTGTCCATCACTATCAGCGCACTCTACACTCTGGCTACTCAGCTGTTCGGAGGGTACCTCGCCACCAACATCCCTCCGTGGCTGACGTGGGTCCGCTATCTCTCCATGGTCCACTACGCCTACCAGAACATGCAGATCGTCGAGTTCGGCGATAGAGATGGCATTCTGTGAGTATGCTTTCACTGACTGTAAAAATTTACAACAATTTGTAACATTTCCAATAATAATCCAACAATAATCTGGATTTGTCTCTAGCAGAAAATAAAACTTTGTCTGATGCAAAAAAAAATTACCGCAGTTCAAAAACCTAAATTATTTTTAAGCTCAACTATTTAGTGTCTTATGTTTTTACTATAAACTGTACTGTGTGTACGTTCCTATAAATTAAATATGATTCAGTGCTTGACATTTTTTTTTTAATTTACCTGTCCTTTAGACCATAGTGAAAGATATAGTTTTTAAGTTTTGTAATCAAATAGTGTGGGCAGGTCTTTTTCTAAGGGAATTTCGATAATCCGAATAATATGACAATACAGATAAGGCTCCAGTTCCAATTAATCTGGATGATTGACGTTCTACTGTAGATGATAGTTTCGTTGCTTAGCGATCATCTGGTTCGCTAGTACAGACATTGGACAGTAGATGTTGGTTTAGTGAAAATTGGTTGGAAAACGCCTACGAAGAAAAGTAGTTTCGTTCTGCTGTTTTTAAGAGTGGCTAGTATCATCAAAACTACGCTTTATAATACATGACTAAAGCTACACTGGAGTTAGGATCACATGCTTACAACTAATTTTCCTAAAAAAAAAACAAGAATAAACACTACTTTTGGAATAAACATTTTGATGTTGGAATCAGTTTTTTTGTGTTTACAGCATAAATTTAGTTTCCCACCAGAAATCGGTAAAGATCAAAAGGTGTCCAAACATAAGGAAACATTAAATTTTGTTTTTGAACAAATGTTTCTGTAATTCTCTACGCTGTTTTCAATACTTCCTCGCTACCCTCCACGCCTACCCACCGTGGTCTAAAATAAAAGCTCCAAACATTTGGTTTCAAACTCCGGTGTAAACGTGGAGTACAGGATCACCTTTCTGCGTGGTATATGTGGAATGGAATTGATTAATTTGAGATTCTGTGCTAAAGACCGCGGCCAAAACAGATATCAAGACCAAGGAAAATGTTGAGAGTAGCCATTCTGATTGCAAAGAAACTACCACATAGGCTGTATCAACAACGCTGAACTACTCTGCTCTCTGCTGAATCACTAAGCGAGCCAATATACTTATCTATCTTTCTCTAACAGGTGTGCACCACATTCAAAGTTGGAAGTGTGCAAGGACTCAACGCATATCCCAGTGTCCTCCATCTTGGAAATGCAGGGAGCCAACCTACCTCTGTGGGCCAACACGCTGGTTCTGTTGGCATTCCTGCTTCTGTTCCGCCTGCTCGGCTACATCGTGCTGCGCTACTTCCGTCGGCCCAAATGAACACCTTGGACCTTACACACCAGTCTGTGATTGTTAGCTCTAAGAGGGAACAAATCTTATGTCATTTTTCATATTAAGGCTGTTAACAAGTTTATCACAGTATTTGATAGAGATGGCTTGGAATGGGTCATGTTAAAAATATTTCAATATAAAAACATTGCTAAATTAATGATCCAGTTTTTGTAAAGTTTTTGACCTAGACTTAACAGATAATCAAAAATATCTACCGAAATTGAAATGACAATCTGTGGTTTGTAATTTTTTTTTAAGAACTACTGTACCATCTTCAGGCCTTTAAACCTTTACAAAATCATAAACAAGTAGTTTTAATAATTATAAAAACAAAAATTTACACAAAGAAAATTACCTACTTCTGATATATTTAGCCATCAATATAATTTCTACATTTGTTTTTTAAGGTTTTGTTGTCTTTTAGAGTTTACAAGCCCAATATTGTTAAGTGATATAACTAATTATTCCACATTTTGAAAACTATTTTTGTACTGATTTAAAAATAACTTTAGTGATTTCTACACTGCCAAAAATGTTTTTAACTTTTAAGTGACGTAACAACCGCTTTTTGATCAACTGATAAACTTTTAGGCCTTACTTGACCAAGGTTGTAGGAAATTCACATTATAGCACAAAAACAATTGTAAAGCGTTCAATTGCGAAGAAATATTTTTTAAATGATTAGTTGTGACCTCGTAATTTTGTGTAATGTTCAATGGAGGTATAAGACTCATTATTAGATGATTAAGAGACGTGAAGACCTATTGTTGAGTGCCTTGTGTTCTGATGAGTGCCAATGTAGCACACGATCCCACCAGTTAAGTGTCCACAGGCACAACTTATTTTAAGTCTTACAGTAATAAAAAATGTATTCCTAATTTATAATAATGCGATGTTCATATTATAAAGGTACCACTCTATAATTTATCACTCATTAGGTTAATACGCTTTTGTGATGCTGATGTATATAATATTGTTACTGCGCGGCCCCAAAGGGCCTCAAATGTGATTGTAGAATTAGTTAACTGTTTTGTGTTTTTGTTATTCGATTCGTCTATTGTATATTTTCATATCCTTGTACAAAAAGTTTTAAGGGCGGAAAGGTCGACTTCGGATCGCCGTTTTCTGCATTTTTATTTTTAAACGTAAGAGTTTGTAATTTATTTTCTAGTATATTTGCTGTGTGTATGTTTTTTATGAAGTTACGAGAGGACTTTGTTAAGTTAGGTCATAGCATTCCCACTTCATCGACCTGTACCACTCGTACTATACCTAGTCCAATCGAGAAGCATTTCGCTGACATGAGCTATTTATATTTAATAAATTGTTATTGCGATTCATAGCTATTGTCTAATTATTCACCCTTTTGTATAACACTAGTGTACACTAAGTTTTTAAAGTTGTTTTAGATCTCCACAATTTATAAGTCAAACATAAGAATTACTCTATCCAGAGAGAGTGAATAAAAGTGAACGTAGGGTAGATTAATGGAGGGAAATAATTTTAAGCTTTGACTATGAATAAAACTTGCCATTCCATTCCCAAGTTATTTTGGCCGGTTTAAGGATGAAATATATGTAAAACTGAGCCTCTATAAGTTGCTGTTGTCAATTAGCGATTTTTTACACCAACTTTTTGACCTTGTTAAAATGAGGGGACAGCTTATTGTAACTTTTAGTATCTCTTATATAAACTATCACAGTATCAAAACCTAAGAAAAGAAATATAATTTTGACAGCTGCTTACTCTGTAAGAGACTTCTTGAACTATGTTTGATTGGAATAACAAGTTTGCAATAGCTGCTCTAGAAATCTCAATAATTTGGTTTATCTTAATTTTAATAGTACAGTATACAGTATTTCATTACTAGAGTGTGACTCTTTTCAACCCAAGCTCAAGTTTTACGATCGAATCAGAAAATTAGAGAAGGTTGAAAAGGCACTTTTTGCCCGTGTAATGAACTATATTTTTATCATATTACATCATTGGTTAACTAACAAATGAAAATACCTTTATTAATTAAGCTAGAAAACGATAATAATTATAACCTCTCAAAACGACTTCCAGTTTTCGATTCTGCTAATGAAATAAGCAGCTGTTTAGTAAGTGATTCAATCATTTAGTCTATTACAATTGTGATACTGTACATTATAACATCAACATGTCAAACTATTGCAACGATTAGCTAAAAACTTACTTAATAAATCGATCGATAAATAATTTTGATCCATATGATTGCTACAACCGAAACTTGCAGCTGTTTACAACAGCTAATTTTTACTCCCTGGGGAGTAGGGAGTAAAAATGCTACTGAAGACCGTCAACGCATAAATAAAAAATGGCTGTTACTCCTGCAGTATGACGAAACATTTGGGGCTTGGAGGGAGATAGCATACATGTTAGGATTTTGTCTAGAAATCCAATTTTATTCCCCTCAGTATAAGATTCACAATGAATTTGACCTTCTTATTTATTATTATATATCTGGCTAAGAGATATTTTTATAATCAGTTATTCTATGTTTTTGAATTATTAGGCTATCATGCTGCAATCATGTTTAAAAAAACATAACAAACGTAAAGATCATAGGAAATAAATATGCCGTCAATAGGTATATAACAATTTACAATATATTATGTAAAACAAACATGTGTATAGCCATAAAAAATAGTAACATCAATAAATTAATATACCCTCACACACTCAACAATAATGGTATACACTTGATCCCAATACTTATCAGTAAATCATTACATTTCATAAGCTACGAAAACATAGAATCATGAAGAGCTTCAATGTCTTTTACCCTCTGGATTGCTCGCAGCTTGCGCTTTCTTGATTCTTCATATTCTGGGTCATCTGTCGGAAGTTCATGGCGGCAGAGCGGGCAAGAATTTGTCTGAAAATATATCCGAATATTGTATATAAAATTTAAAAGCTACTATTGTTTAAAGGTTGTTTAGCCTTCCTGTTCAGGGGCTTGATGGATACAAAAAACGTTGTGCTTAATTTGCACCATGGAAACACACTACAAGTTCATTCTACATATTCACAGCATCAACATGCTTTTAAATTCTTTATTTAGGTTATACGTTAGGCTTTCACACAGTTGTAGATAAGATATACAGGCCATTGAACTTAAATTTTTGTAATATTATGAATAGCCTATTTTTGCAACGGTTCTCTTATTGGGTATCTTATAGCAATGCTAAAAAATTATGAAAAAATATTTTGCTAACTGGTTTTTTGGTAGAATATGTTTTTTTACCAGCCTAATAATTGGAATTCCATATTGTCAAAAATAACTTTGGTACAATATATTTGTATTGATTTGAATTAAAAACATGATCTCTTTAGCATGTTTAACTACGGTAGTTAAAAAATGTCAAATCAATATTCACAAATACTGTGAAAACTGGTAAATCCACCGGTAAGAAAATAGCTAAGTTGAGGGGAGATTAAGATGTCCACTAGATAAAGATTAGTATGTCTATCTGGGTGTCCAACCAACCGAGAAACAGGGAAACTAGGGATCATTCATGAGCTTAAATGACTGGGAAAAGGTCCCACAGTCGTAAAAATGTTGTATGGGACAGAGAAATAGTTCCGTAGCTTATAATTTGATTCAAATTCACATAACAGCACTCATTTATAGTAAAACAGTGTCAAAGTCCCAGGTCAGCGCTTATTGCTGAAACTTAAGATGTCTCCAACCAAATCACTAATTAGGAAAATGGTCTCTTGATGGACCGGATTTTCCTAAATCCGGCCAACCAGTTTAAGCCGGATTATCAAGGAACTACTGTACACTGAACAACCCTTACCTTTTCCAACCATGGCAGGATACACTGAGGGTGAAATGTATGTTTGCATGGCATTTGTCTTGCAGAGTCACCAGTTTCCCAAGGCTTAAGGCATATTGTGCATTCACCTTCTGAAAATTCCACACATACTTTATCTTAGGCTATATAGGCCGAGTATATTTTAATTAAATAATTTAGACTTTCTTTTATTACGGTAGGAATATTTTCTTTTTCTTTTTAGTTTTAGCATTGACTACCTATACATTTGGTTTTAGTCAATAGATATAAAAAAAAATTATGACCTTTCTAAGTTGCGGATCAAAGGAATAAAATGTAATAGGTAGTTTTTAATATCTCCAAACATAGTTAAGGATTTATGGGTATAGTACCTTCAGCACAAAATTTTTCAATTTAAAAGTGGTTTTTTATGTGATAACTTAAATAAAATTAGACACATTTAAAAGAATAGAAAATATTTTTCAGTTACTTACCATTCGTCATCAAGATTTGTCAACAAGAAAATGGATGGTTTTGAAAATGAAGAACATCTTTAGTTCTATTTTGGTGCCAATTAAAGGTTTCTAAAATTAATATTCCTAAGCTTGTATAGATTTAAATTAATATTTTTACCTTTATATGCAGCAGCTCCAGTAAAAAAAGTAGGCCTAATTTTGTTGATTTTCTACCCAAAATTTTATGTGATGAAGTTCCTCAAAAGAAGTACAATGGTATTATATTGAATGCGCCTCAAAGATAGAATTGATTGCCAAAAGCACATTTTAAAGTTTTTTTACTTAATCTTTGCAAGTGCAGAGGTAACATTTTTTTGCATTCAACGGAGGGTTAAAATAGACCGCCATTCTCCAATTGATGAAAAAAGCTAAATAAAAAAGGAATTTTTGGGTTTTATAATTTGACATTGCTATTCTATTGAACAAAAGATATGCAGTGCATGGCCGTGCAGTGCATGTGTACAACCGAGGGGTATATATGAATTAAGTAGAATAAAATAAGTATTTTGGTTTTTAGTCTTGAACCTCGAGCGGGCGCTTAACCTTTAATACACATATATATATATATATGCAGAAGCTTTTTCCGCATTTCACGTTCGCGGCGGCACGTCAAATGGCGGGCGTATCCCCAGTGCGGTGCAGCCCGCAGCGTCAAACAAACCCGATTGCCGCGTGTGACTGGCTTTCCAATTTCGGTGTGACGAATAGCAAATAACGTGCGAGGATGTCCTGCTTTAAGACGAGAGTCGACGTAGTTTGCTAAACACTCACAGATAGCAGCACTGCTTGGAACATAGCCGGTCCCATTGGAATTAGTCCAGGAAAAATACGACAAATTACCCTTAAACCTGGGCAAAATTGCTTCACAAGCGATTGAAGTGGTATTCAACACAGAAAATAATGCTTTATAACATATCCAAAATCCGACCATGGGAAATTACTAAAAAATCAAATTCAAAATGGCGGCAAAATTTCATATTTTTGTGATATCTGTTTTAGGACTTTTGGCGGTATGGGATGACGGAAAGCACATATACATAAATTAAATATCAGATTGGATGTTGAAATATCAAATATTTACAAGAATAGACTTTATTAAAACGACAAGGGCATATTTGTATGCACATTTTAGTTTCCATAGTTACTTAAAAAGAACTAAATTTAATAGGTTTTCTTGGACAAACTATTCATTTAAATAACTGTTATTATTTTGTGTCAATGTTCTTACATTCATTGATCTGGCACTCCCCTAAAAGAGCAGAACAAGACAGGCCATTATGTTTACATCCACAGTTGCGCAATGGGTTATAAAAGAAGAATGGACCAGTTTCAATAATCACTCTAGGGTTGGCGGTATTTCAGATACTGTACGGCAGTACGAGTTTTTGCACCAAGAAGGACATTATTCCCAGACGTTTGAACAAATATGTGAAAAATAACTATTATAGGAAACAGTAAACATGAATACTCAATACTATAGTATGAAACATCAAACATATCAAAACAGGCAATGCAAAAAGACTACAAAACAAAAAAGTCGTACCCCCATACATTTCTTATGGACGTTTCGTAATTTGAAAATTTTTTTAGATAATTTTTCTTATATCTCCAGATTTTACTAACGCTTGCAGTTTGTTCTAGCCTTAAAATATTCTGTGATAAAAGGGTTTACATTTGAGCTATTGATCATTAAAATCGGATGATTTAGAAACGAGCTACGAACCCTATAACAATATTAAATTTAACTTTTTAGATATACATTTTTATTAAGAGATGTATATCTCGGGTTGTTAATATGTCACCAAGTTCATTTTGGTCTCAAATTACTCAGTGAATCTTTGGCTTTAATTTTATTAACAATTTATTAAAATCTGATGAATTTTAATTGAGTCACAAATCTTTATTTAACAGTGGATTATTTGTTTTTCAAAATTTGTCTTTAGTTTCAGACATATATCCCCAATTCTAAATAACTTCCAAAAATCTTTACGGTCTTAAGATAGTAACGTTATTGACTTTTGTTTTAGCTATGGATTACTTATTGGGTGTTATTAGAATTGGGGATAAATGCCCTAAACTAAAGACAAATTTTTTAAAATAAATAATTTACTGTTAAATAAAGATTCATGACTCATTTTAAATTTGTCGGATTTTATTAAGTGACACATAAAATTAAAGCTAAACATCCACTGAGTAATTTGAGACAAGAAAGAACTTGGTGACATATTAGCAACCCGAGATATACATCTTTTAGTAAAAAATTATTTTTAAAAAGTAAAATTTAATATTGTGTTAGGGTTTGTAGCTTGTCTATAACACGTCCGATTTTAATGATCAATAGATCAAATGAAAACACTTTTATCACCGAATATTTAGAGGCTAGAACTAACTGCAAGCGTTAGTAAAAACTTGAGATATAAGAAAAATTATCTTAAAAAATGTTCAAACTACGTAACGTCCATAATAAATGGATAAGGGAGAATTTTCGTTTGAATATATCTTCAAAACGAACAAATATATTTCAAAACGGATTTTAGCATTGAAATCAGCGTGAAAATCTAATTTATAATGATGTGTCACATCACTATCATTACGTTTAAAAATATATATTTATATCCAATATGGCGGAACCAATTTGGCAGATCCAAGATGGCGGCCAAGATGGCGGCCAAAATGCGTTCCCTATCATATTAAAGGACTAACCACACAATAAATATCGGTGGTAATCTCAAATAATAAATAACAAAATAACAAATAAGTGAATATCTCAAAAATATGCATGAAAATGCATGTGATATATTTTTTAATGTATCCAAAGTTGGGGATAACTGCCATTTTTAATCGTCATTAGAGGGGGTTTCCTGTAGACCGATTTTTTGCAACTTTTAGTACGTCACTCTGCGCACCTAACACCATACCAAATAAAACCGTACAATGTTTTCTTGCATTGTTTTAAGGTCATTTGCCATATTTTTTCTGACTATTGGTGTTTTAAAATAAATGGCTCTTAAGAAAAATAGCTGCTATTTTAAAATTTACTTTTAAACACTTTCCCATGGTTGGATTTTGTCGGATTTTGGATATGTTGTAGAGTAACATTTGTTGAGTCGAATACCACTTCAATGGCTTATGAAGCAATTTTGCCCAGGTCAAATCATAATTTTACTAGACTAAATTGTATTGCCAAATGGAGGGAAAAAGGCGGGACAAAAGTAGAATTTTGAGATTGCCAGAGGGGGATTTTCGGGGAAATTTACTACCAACCTACACCACAACAAAATACAGTATACTATTGAGCAGTGCTGTGCGAGGTTTCAAGTTTCTAGGTCTAATCCTGGCTTAAAAATAAATCATTTCGTACTGCATTGCAGCTTGGGAGCGGACGCACCCACCAGGATGGCATTAGGGTTCCGTGTGGGAGCGATCGCTCCCATGCCGCCGCGAACGTGTTAAACAACTATTTATGAGTAGTTTTAAATAACCATAATGAGTTTTTGAAATAGTTTAGTGGGTTTCAAGGTTAGTGTTATGAGAGAGGGCACATGTGGAGATTTCACCCCTAATGAAGCAGTTTATACAAACTAATATAACAAATCTATATGAGGAACTATGTATGTATGTGTGTATATATATATATGTATATACGTTATGGACTCCGAAACCGCTCGACAGATTGTAATGAAACTTTCAGGCATTATTAAGCATCTTTCAAGGATGGTTCGAGTGAAGTTTGGTGCAGATCCGTTAAAAGGGCTCTGCCCCAGAGGGTTTTAAGTGGGCCAATGTTAGACTTTTTGATCTACAATGTTTACAAATAAATATAATTCAAAAGCAGATGTTTACTTTCATCAACTGTTTTGTAGGTTTAAATAATCACAACATTCTGTATTAGCAATAGTCATGATTTGAAATAGTGCCACAGTGTTTCTACAGAGTGCAGCACAGAAAACTATTTTAGGTACTTTCCTGTTAAAGGGAACATTCATTATTATCGATGATTTTTTCTCGATATATCGATGTTTTTGTTTTCCGATCCATTACAAATTGACAACAAGAAATGAAACTGTTCTAAGCTAACCTAACATAACCAACCATACTTGCTGTACCATTTAAAAATTCCGTTTGGGTTTGAATATAAAAGGCAAGTTATAAACGCGGAATTTTTAAATGTTACAGCAAGTTTGGTTAGTTATGTTAGGTTATTTATTTTAGAACAGTTTAATTTCATTAATGTTTGTTGATACTGAACAATATTTTTCGTAATTGTCAGCTGATATGTTTCAATTTGTTAATATCGATATATCGAGAAAAAAATCATCGATAATAATGAATGTTCCCTTTAACAGGAAAGTACCCTATTTTACTTTTGAATAAGTCCAAATGTATTAAACCCCAATCGCAGCACACCTGTGCACTTAACAATGTTTAAATTCTCCAATGTTAAATATTGAAACATAAAAACCTTTATCAAAGTATTATAAACAATAAAAGGGATGACTTTTTTAATTTATGACAACAGCTAATTTGCAACCAAAAGGTGAGTGAGCGTAGCGAACGAAAATCAACCTGGAGGCGAGTTAGCGTAGCGAACGAGCTAACCTGAAAACAAGTGAGCGCAGCGAACGAGCTAACCTGAAAACAAGTGAGCGCAGCGAACGAGCTCCAACCTGAAGGTGAGTGAGCGTAGCGAAAGAACTTCAACCAGGATGTGATTGAGCCATGCGAATACTTATGAAGTTAAACGGGGCAAAGCCCGCGGGTACAGCTAAGTGTGTATTAAAATAAAATAGGTACTGTAATGATGTGACAGGATATTTAATCATACTAGTGTCCCTGTTGCTCGAATTCGAGCAATTTAGTGTCCCTGTTGCTCGAATTCGAGCAATTTCTAAGTATTAGAGGCGTCATTTTAAAAGGAATAACGTTCATAATTTCTGAATATTTTAATGCATTCGATCCAAAGATTATGGAAATATTCAAGATGTACATAACAGAATATATCAATTTATCCAGGCTCTCTCGCTTTTTTCCATTGTAATATTTACGCCAACCCGAATTCAAATACAGTAGTAAATATTTCATTTCAACCAAGTCAGTAAATGTTTGCTACAGTTTGCTAAACTGTAAAATTAGCAAACTTATTGACTGTTTAAAATTAACATATGTTTTTCTTCTCACTTTTAATTTTTGACAACAGCTGGAGTTGCATAACAATTTTTGTTTCCCATGTTAATCTTATGGAGAAATACAAAACTTTAAAGGGCCCCAGGGCCTCACTCTCTGATTATTTCCCTAAAAAGGAAGTTTCCTGCACAACTTCACGTTGCGCTCTTTCCAATGACACCAAAAACATGTCGATCGGTTCAGTAGTTTCGGAGGAGTAATTGTCACAAAAAACATGCTTGCGTATTAAATAAGTATAGATTTTAGGAAATGTGTATAAATTTGTTTTAAACAAATTTCAAAATCGAAAAAATGCTTATGATGTGATATAGGCTAACTTTAAAAATTAATATGTAAGAAATCAAATAAAACTCTAGATTGTAGAGTTAATACGCACACGGAGAAAACCTCTGCAACTTAACCACACTGACTAACTCGCATCTCAGATTAAACTTAGGGGAAGGGTGAAAAGTAGGTGTAAACATTTTTGATTGCGTGGAAATCCAGGAATTCGGATCCTGTAAGAGAGCCGGACACGACTGGCGACACCAATTAAGTTTTTTTTGGACAAAATCTTAACCAAAGCGCCCCCTCAAGGATTAACTGATTGACACAGCTCATTTACCTTCCTTTGAGACAGTAATGTTCGGCAACGCATCAATTGAGGCTTTAGATGCAGCTGGGGCTAACTGAGCTTCGGGTTCCATGTATTGAAACTCTAGCAAGAATCTGACAAGATGGAGAAGGTTGTTTGGAGTTTCCCCGTCTCCGAGCGGTTCCCAACCCATCTCCTCGAAATAGCCGGCCATGATACCTGCCGAACATTGTGTTGTTGAATTGTTTACTTGATTAAGAAGGCCTAATTTAGTGTGCAATATGCTAAATAGAATTGATTAAATGTAAAGGCTATTACACTACCCTAAAATAATTTCCTTCCATGTAGCTGCAAGCTTAAAGAAGGTAAGTTAACTTAGTTGTTAAACTTAATACTATTTTAAAAGGGAATAAATGTGACATGTTTTAGTGGATGTTAAATGGAGATATTTGAGTAAAAGTCCAATAAGACCAATGGAAATTTTCTTAGTCTACAGGTTTGCTGCAACATGGGTATTTTCTCCGTTTTCGTTCTTTATATCAACGGTAAAAAACACAATCAGTCACATTAATGTCCAATGGTGGCCATGGCCATGGTCATATTAATGTCCTAGCCTATACTAATAGCCTACGTAGCAAAACGCTTCACAGTTGCTTCAACGCACGATGCAACACTGTCATGCTAGGGTTTTAGTAGGCCTAACGGGTGTTTATTACAACAGGCGTTGCCACACTTACATGTGTGCGTAGCCTTATCCAGCCCATGTCTAGGGTTTGAACTAAGCCTATCATACTTTCACCGTCCTAGTTCACAATAATTATAGGCTAAGTTACTACATTCTGTTATTAAATAATAAACAATGTAAGGGATAGCAACTGAAATTAAATTTTACCAGTGGCCAACTGGTGATAGGCCTTATTGCCTGACCTATAGACTAGGCCTAGGCCTATAAAATTAGATCATCTCAACCTGGTTGTAAACTCTCAAATGTTCCAAAGTGCAGTGTATGAGAGTAAATGTAACACTAACCTACCTGAGTAAACACTAACCACCACAACAAATTTTAAGTAACCGTGGTCCAAAGTGACCAATGTTATCCTAATTCCGTTTTAAATGGTAAATACTTTGCAGTTCATAGACTCATTATCCAAGATGACAAGTAGGTTTACATTTTACAATGATTCATTTATTTCATCTTATTCCTTGTTTACCTTTACAACAGACGACGGCGACAGGTGAGTCGAGCAAAGAGGAAAGAGAATAGGGAACAACAACACTTGATTATGAGTAATATACAGTACATATATATTGTATAAGTATACAATATATACTTATGCCTATGTTATGCTATGTTATGTAATGTCATGGTTGCTTTATACAATTGTCAATAACAAATTAAATTCCAATGAATACTATGAGAAACAAAAATCCATCTTGCTCGCTACATGCATAGCTAAAACCATAGATAAAACATACTCCCTTGGTTAGTCTATGCTAAAACATACTCATGTATGCCACACTGAATACCGTTTCAATTGCCTAGACCTAGACACGTAAACAATTTACGTAACTCCTCCAATAATAATCCAAATTAGCTCAAAATTCCAAAGCATCTAAAAACTATTTTGTCTCATGAACAATTCACAAACTATATGATGGACTACAAGATCGCGCCACTCATCCTACACTCATCTCCATTCATACTTGGCCTACTTTATATGGTCACCAATTCATTAAAAAGTATTTAAGTATTAAGATGGTACAGTAAAGTAGACTACTTAAATCGTTCATCTAAAAATATTACCATTCAATGTTCATGGATTAAACATACTTGCACTATTCAATAGCTTATTCAATGATGAAAGATAGTTAAGCTGTATTTAAATTGCCCGCTTATTCGTACTATACTGTAACTGCATTTTGTTCAGCAATGTGATCTAGCGGATTTTATTAGAACTAAGTGTCGGTAACATAGATTGAATAATTAAGGTACTTTAAGTATAAATAATTTAAAATAAACTTCTACCACTAGTGGTATTACAACAAAAGTCAAGAACATATGAGTAATAATGGATATTTAACAAGTCCAACTACGGTGGAAACGTATGTTTTCATTATCTTGACGAGAAACAATTAAGTTCTCGCTATGAAGATGAGTACCACCGTTCCAATATAAACCCAAGTGTTGCACTGTTCTAGTACTTATTGACGATCGGGGGATCTTGGGTATGCCTGATGAGCTAAATCTTAGAGGGTATGCCTGGGTGAAACCGGTCTTTTGTCTCTGGATGCAATACATAATTTATTGACGAAAGACAAAAATTTTGCTGTTGATAAAATAGCAAAAATTTTTTAATTTATATTCTAAACAAGAATTGCCTTTTCGTTTCACTGAGAAGTGTTTGGGGATGTTGAATTAAGTTACAAAAGATTGCTATGTAGGCCTGAGACTTACATTTTTTAAGATTTTGGTAAACTATAGTAGAAGATTCCTTATAGTTTAGTTTTTAGTTCTGAGCCTATTGTTGTTAAGCTTTAATTTCATGTTTTTTATAAGACGAGTTTTCACTAAAAACCTAAAATATATCAGAATCAAATTTTGGTAGTACGGTAGTACCGTACTGTAAAAATAATATTTGTTGTAATCCGTTTTAGTTTGTTGATAAAAATACGATTCAACACTTAAATAGCAACCTATTGGGCAGATAACTTAATTTGTCACAGAGAGTTAAATTTACAAACATACATCTTTTATAAATTAAGAATCCATATAAAACCTCAATAGCCTCATTAACTGACATGGTTTAACTCTAAGGGAGTATGTTTAATCTATGGTTTAACCTAATCATATGGAATACAAATTGAAACTTTTTCACTAACTTAAAACCATGAGTAGGCCTATTATTTTATAATGGCAAGGTAATTTTTCGCCACTAGAAACAATTAGCACAAAGGCTAAGTTAAAAATCGGAAAACTTGTTTACCTAATGAAGTTTTTAGATTTAGTTTTATATCTTAGAGATATCTCACATTGCTTTTATACACACGACGTTCTTTCCTGAAATGAACATCTTTAATTTAAAAACAATCTTAATTGATAACACTAATCTCTGCAACAATGCATCAGGTGATCAGCGAAGTAAAGAAAACAGGGATACCAACATAAGCTTTTTTGTCGTTATAAAGTGTCTCACAGTAACTTATTTCCCCTTTTAACTGTGGCCGTGATGAAAAATTGTAACTCTTAAACGGGGGATTTTTTTCTGCGTTAAGAACTCAATTTTACCTCCCAGATGTAAAGTATTTCATAGAGGGGTTGTTTGTGGTGAATATCAAACAAGTCTTGACATGTTAGAGTCTAGATGTGGGGCCGGTGCTACAATGAATGAAATTCGCTAAGTCGAGTCCTAACCTCAAAAACTTTATTTACTTCAATAAGCATAGATAAGTTATAATCTTAGGAGTAAGAGGGGCTACTAATAATTGCTCTGTCCGTGCTTCACAACGGGGAGAGAACGCAGATAAAGATATTGTGGTTCTTCAGTGGTTCTTCACCGCTTCGTCCAACTCGAACTTCAGGATGATAAGGGTCGCTTGTTAAAATTATTTGATCTTTATCGCTGTCCTAAGGAAAAATAATCTGCATATGAGTTATTTTTTACCAATTGCAACGCACAATGCTCCTTCCAAACACTATCCGTTCAGAAAATTTAGGCGGTTTGAAGGAAAGCTAGTCCATTCCCGTTTAACCTCACGCTAACTTTGAAACACAGCCAACAGCTGATCATCTGAAGTTAAAGAAAGTGATGGAGGGATCCAGGAAATATTTCCCTTAAATCACCTTAATTTTGTGAACGGAATGTTGGCTATATGGCTTTTGCTTCACGTAATGTTATACAGAACATTTTGTATGCAACATCAATAATAATTTATATTAATCAATAGTTATTATTAATGTGTATGTGTTTTCTAAAATATTGAAATTAATAAGTTCACAATTTAATTAAAAGATATAAAGAAATCAAACTGTTGAAAACCAAAAGTAATTACTATCTCACATCATACAAATAAACTGTCACTTTTCATGGTAAATTTTTGAAAATATGGTACGAATATGGTACGAAATATAGTACTAATATCTATTTGCATTCGCTAAAAGGTTAACTCAAAACAAAGTAAATCAACAACTATGAATAAAAGAAAAAGTAGCAGTTGACGCATAATTCATATTTTCGTCAACTGCAGCTAAAACAGCCGTTTTTAATGCATGCATCGCGGGTCTAGTAACTCTTTTACTCCCAAGGGAGTTAAAACGCCTTTTCAGTTCCAAGGGAGTAAAAGTCAGTTGTAAAATTTGATTGCAAGCAATTCAATTGCATGTATCGAAAATTGATTCGGCTGAAGCTTATTGTTGCATTATTTGGAACTATCGATAGTATAATGTACACTAACAAAATCGTAATGTAGGCCTAATAGTCGAAATTATTTGATCATTTACCTCAAATACCTATTACTCGTGAGTTAATAGTCGTTTGTCACGGTGAAATAAAACATCTCTGATGTAACAGCTGCCTGTTTGCATTTAAAAAATCTAAAACAAGTTGTACGTCGGTTTGAGAGGGTATCTTAACATAAAAATTATTTTCTGTTTTAGCTTCGTTGCTTAAATAAATGTGCAATATGACGAAAAATATAGTTCGCCACACTCCAAAAAGTGTATTTTCAACCCTCGCGCATTTTCCTACCTCGGCTTCGTCTCGATTGTGAAACTTGAGCTTGGGTCGAAAAGAGCCACTTTACAACCTAGTGATGAAATAATATAATATTTCTTCATATTACAGCAAAACAGCCGTTTTTAATACATGCGTTGTGGGTCTAAAGTAGCTCTTTTCGTTCCTCTTCTTTCACTATAACGAGAGTTTTGCTCTCGAGGGAGTAAAAAACCAGCGATTGTAAGCAATCGCGTGTATTTTAAGTATGTATAGATTGTTTTAATCGTTTCTAGCTTATTTTTGCATTGTTGTAAATATACTACGGCATATCGAAAGTAATTTACCCTAAATCAATCGTAATAGACGAAAATTTAAGCATGTGTCTGAGACGAACGAGATGGAATGGTCAGCGAGGGAATTTTAAGATGGAGCTGGAATTCCATTTTAAAAGTGTCAAATGTATTGTTGAACTCACTCTTTTCTGTAAAATTGCCACTGTAAATTTACCAAAAAAGCTGCTTGTTTAGTAAAATTGAAAACAAGTTTCAAGTAGTTTTGAGAGGTTATCTTTACATGAAGTGTGTTTTCGTTTTTGTTACTTAGCTTGCTTAAACAATGGTGCAATATGACGAAAAATATAGTTCATCAAACTCCTAAAAATTGTCTCCTCAACCTTCGCTCATTTTCCTACCTCGGCTTCGCTTCGGCCATAAAACGTATGCTCGGGTCGAAAAGAGTCTCTTTACACTATTTTACCTACTACTACTATTTTACCTTATTAACTTCAACCCTTTAGCTATGGTTCGTGCCCTTAGAAGAGGGTTTATAACAAAACAAATATTTTGTGGGACGTTTAACATGAAACCTTTTATTCAAGTGCGGCTTACGATTTCTCAAAAGTTCGTGATCCTAATTAGCCTTATTTAGATGACTTTCACGACAGTCTTCTTATCAAGGTACATTTCTCGTGTTTTTTTCCCCAACCACATGTAGAACGTACAGTACTCATGAAGGGTGTTCCGGGAGCGACCCATATTCCCTCGTCGCCGCCTGAAATAGTGGAGGTTAAATTTGGTTCTGGCGAGCGCCAATGGGCGGGCATCTTGAGTTTCACGAACTGCTTCAAGCTCAAAACTCGCTCAGTGACTGTGCCCCAGCTGCCAACTAAAGTCACCGCTACCTTTCTTCTTTCTCAGGTTGGTAACATTTTTAATTTTAAAATTTTTATATTTCTCCTGAATTTCACTTTTTGCGTCAACATTTTTATTGTAAGCCGAAAACGAAATAGTGTGCATGGCGTGTTATATGCTTAAAAATGCAGATAAGCAATAATAATTGACCTATGAAAATTTGTGGTAAGAAGTATTTAATTCAATTATTATGAGTCGATTTTAATTTATTTGCGATAATTTACTCTACGTGTTATATTTTTCGTTTGTATTACGAGTTCACCAAAATAATGTCTTAGCAATACGTATAAACTATTTAGGGTGGGCACCCATTCATTGAATTGTAAAAGACAATATATTTTTCCTAAACCGTATTCTAAATTACTCTTTTATAAATCTTTATTTGAATCACGAGTTGAGTCACATACTTAAAACACGTGAGACTACCCTTCAAGATTTGGGGAAGAATATTATACAATATAATTAAATGTTTACTAAAATTTGATTGATATGGAATGCAATTTAAAACGCTTAAAAACAGTAGATAGTTGTTAGTCCGATTCTTCAATTGATTTTTTCACTTTTCTGGAGTTTTGCTTTGTACTTTACCTAAACTTTGAATGAACTTGAACGAGTAGTGGAAAACTAAGAAGAATCTTTCTTCTCAATTTGATAAGTTTAAGGAATTTAAGTTACCAGATTATGTTCTTGAATATAAAGCCTGTAGCTTTTATGTTTTTATTTATCAGCGGTATAGGTTTATATTTAAATTAAACTTCAGGTTAAGCCCCAGTGTGGCCTTGACTATGAAGATAATAACATTAAAGATGCCAAGTACCGAAGTACACCGCTACGACTCATAGGCATATGTAAAGTGGGAGGGGCTATTACTGGACCAAAGCTACTTCGTCTTAGCCCAGTAGACAAAATATCGATTGATTATTTTCGAAACTTCGTCACTAGCCTATATTTTATTTCAATACTTTATTTTCAGAGCTATATCCATGAAACTTATCAATAATAATGCAAACTTGAAATGAAACTTATATGGTTTTATGGCTCAATAAAATTATGATAGATAATATTAGTGACTATTAATTAATTAGTGATTGTTGCTTCAACCCACTATTTTGGTGTAAATACTTGATCATTGTAAAGCACAAATGTTTAAAACTAGGTTCATCTTACAGTGATAGTTATACAAAGATAAAAACGTCAATCAGTGTTCGATTCAACTAGTGATTGCGTTTTAAAATATTCATCGGAGCAATCCAGCTGAAATGGTGATAAAACTAAAATTGATACCCTACTGATTGCCCACGTGATGAAAAGATTTTGGATTTTATCTTTGTTAATAGCTAACTAATCGTTCACTCTACGATGATTTCTGTTAGAGAGAGTAATTATTGTAATTATGTATTGTGTATCAATATTTAAGTTGTTATAAGATAGTTATTTTATCCAAATTTCAAATATTGTCAAACATTTAGAGTTGTCTACAATCAATTTGTTCAGCTAGGGCAATTAGTTGGCTTCTTGTCAAAGCAGTTGAGACCGTCCTGCGTAAGAACAAATCTGATCATATAAACGCGATGGAGGATGAGTTAGATCTAAAAAACCTTTCATACGCATCATACACGAATATTAGAAATGAAAAGGGTGTTGATCATAAACATAAACAAATGACGTAACTGGCCAGAGTTCTATTAAATCAATGTTAAATATTGTTTCCTTTCAAGCCAGTAACGTTATTTGTTTATGTTTATGATATTTACTATGTCTGTTCTAGTGTTCTAGTATCCCTATTACTGATATTATGTTTACGTACAAATTTAGTGACCCTATATTTTAAATTAATGATAGGAAGTAAAAAATCGTTATATTTTATTTTCTCGAGATAAGAGGGGGTTGAGTCTCCTGTCACTCTGAAGAAGACGTTTAATGCATTCATGATTGTGTGCTAGTCAATAGCATAATATGAAAAGAAAATATTAATGATGCAAAGAAGCAAATACATACATAACAGCAAAGATACAAGTATTAATGAATCATAGAATTTTACCGAATGATTGTCAAGTGGTTGTTAATGTTGATAGTTTTAAAATGTGGAGTCTGCCATCACCAAGTACTAGTACTTCTCTAACACTACTACTATACTACTCTATACTACTATATACTACTCTAATATAGTACTTACTATATTTCATACGTCCCGTCATTAACGTCTACATTAATTAATAATCGAGGTTTTTAACAGCAATCATGGTGGCAAGTGACCTTCTGAGATCTGCCTTCTGCCTGCTGCAGCACTCACTACAGTATACGATGTTTAGAAAAGGAGGGACATAATGTTGATATGTTTGTGTTAGTCAAGTGTTTCGAACACTTCTTAACACCTAGATGACTTAAATGATGCAACATGAATTGTGAATTGTGAAAGCTATGATATGTTGAGGTTTGGGGCATTACGATGAATGAACTCTTGTCATTCTTTTTCTCCCAAGTATTGTTCAGCTCTGCAATTTAAAGCTTTTAATATGGCGTAGGCCTACTGTAAATTGATTGAATGGCGAATTAGCCCTATTTAATTTTTAATTCACAATACGTAAATAAAATTGATAGGTGAATAGTCAATGAATATCTATAGTTATCTTAAACTAAACAATACATTAATTAAATGAGTAATTGTTTTAGATTAAAGTCATAACATAAATTATTATTAAATAGCAATAGTAAAATAACTATTTATTGAAAATACTGTACCATAAAAACATTTATTTACTTTCATAAAAAATCTTCTAAACAAACACCTTGATATATGCAAAATAGACATGCATAATAAGACGGCTCGACAACGAATCCATTCCAAATGTAAACAACCCCAAATGTGGAATCCTAAAACAAACACTGTAGCAGCATTAAATACTGTTGCTTTGGGAAAACTCCTATCAACGATCTTTTTTTGTTGAAATCTTGACACTTGTTGACAAATTCTTGGATCTTGAATCTTGGAAATTGACACTAATTACTTATCCTACTGGGCAACTGTAGCCATAATAATTTTATTTTACTCCTTCATTATTTGGCTATTATACATTATACCAGATATGTTGTGAAGGTCTTCATGGTAGTCCACTGCTCACTTGAATACAAGATGGACACTTCTGCCTGCAAATACGCGCAGCTCATCGCTATTTCGGGTTTGGCAGAAAGTGCTGCTCTAGCCTATTTGACTGGTGTTGTATTGTTGTCCGTAATGCTATTTCATAGGCCTGTTTTGAACAATATGGATACTCAAACCTTGCTCAATCTATTTATAATATTTTGTCCTTTCAAACCCTTATGTTGCCGTAAACCTTAATTTTTCAAAAACTGTCAACTATATTTTGTGGGAAATATTGGACATTATCCAACTGCAAAAATTTGGGAAATCTGGTAAAGGAGAATGCCAAAAGAGACTCCTTCGGTCAATGAATATACGTAATAACTAGCTGGGTAAGTGGTTTAAGTGACCGACTAACAACATGGCTCCCTCTACAAGGCCGCGACTAGGCAATATGGCAATACCGCAGTACCGGCCTATTGAAACAGCTGTTGCATTAATTCATAATGGAGAGTCTCTGCAATGTTTATGTTTACGTTTATGTTTATGAATATGTTTATTACTGTTATTACCGCTGCAATAGGCCGCCCGGTGCGACGTTTTTGCCACTCACCAACGCGGCCTTGTATTAGAGAAGGCTATGCTAATTACCAAAAGGTTGCTGGTTCAATCCTGAGAAAAGACAGTAGCTTTTTGATGGTTCACAACTGGTTCAACTTGAACCTAGCTGTTCCTGATCATTGAGCTTTTATATTAACTAGTGTCCCTGTTGCTCGAAATCGAGCAATTGCTAAGTATTACAGGCGTTATTTTAAAACGAATAACAGTCATATTTTTTTATGACTATAAAAGATTCGACTCAAAGATTATGGAATACTCAAGATGTACATAACAGATCGATATAATCAACATTTCTTGTAAATATCTTATCATTTTTCAAAAGCTGATTTTGTTTTTTCGTGTTTATAACACACATTATTTCTATTTCTTCCCCTTGGTGGTGTTCTATGATTTTCCTATGTTTCCATAGTTTGCAAATCGTCTCTTTCAATGATTACTAAGAAATGCAGCACAGTGTTAATTCAGTTAAGTATATCAATTTATCCAGGCTCTCTCGTTTTTTCCCATTGTAATAATTACGCGAACCCAAATTCAAATAGTAACTATTTCATTTCAACCGAGTAAGTAAATGTTTGTGGCAAACTAACTGTTAAATTAGCAAACTTATTGACTGTTTACAATTAACATATGTTCTTCTTCTCACTTTTAATTTCTGACAACAGCTGGAGTTTCATAACAATATTTGTTTCCCATGTTAATCTTATGGAGAAATACGAAACTTTAAAGGGCCCCAGGGCCTCACCCTCTAATTATTTCCCTAAAAATAAAGTTTCCTGCACAACTTCGCGTTACGCTCTTTCCAATGACACCAAGAACATGTAAATCGGTTCAGTAGTTTCGGAGGAGTAATTGTCACAAAAAACCTGCTTGCGTATTAAATAAGTAAATAGATGAATTATCCTGGCTAATGAAACAGCTGATCTTAGTCAGTAAAAAAGATCATCCCACAACATTCTACACTCATCCTTCACTCATATTTGGGTCAAAATACACACACCTTGGTAGTGTCCTCATCTCATAATGATAATATTAATAATAACTCATGAAAAGAACCCCTATATACATCTCGTGGTTTGCACAAATAATTAAACACACCCTCTATAAGGGAGGTCTACAATAGCACTAAAACGTCACGAAAATGAAACGCATTAAACAAGCTTAAGATTTTACAAAAGGATAAGAAGTCTAAACTGTCCTATCAAAATCAACGATTGAAATTACTCAAGTACACTTTATGAGTCATATCACGTGAAAGTTATGACACAGCAATTTGACGATAATAATAGAAGTTATGAGATATAGT